TAAGACTGCGCCACTGTACTCCAGTCTGGGTGACAAGAGACTTCGTCTCAAAAAAAAAAAAAAAAAAAAAGTATTCTAAGTAAACAGGTACGAATAATTTAACCTCAATTCTCTCTCTCAGTTTGGAAGACTGTTTACTTTTTCTTTTGAGACAGGGTCTCCCCTCTGTCACCCAGGTTGGAGTGCAGTGTTGCAATCTCAGCTCACTGCTGTAACCTCCACCTCACCCAGCTGAAAGGCCGCTTCTTCACTCCAATAATTCTGTCCTTCAGATTCTCTACAGCAACTACCACAATTTCAATCCTAAATGTTATGTAGATGTTGACAAAGCAAATTGTAACTGACTTAAAATTGAATTTTTACTATAAAATCACCACCACTGTGGTAATCTAACACAGAATAATGCTAATATTTCAGATCTCACTTTACTTATGCTGTTGTGGCTCATTTATGTCACATTACTCATAAATGTTGTGGTGGTACATGCTTGTAGTCCCAGCTACTTGGGAGGCTGAGGTGGGAGGATCTTGAGCACAGGAGGCTGAGGCTGCAGTGAGCCAAGATCACGCCACTGCACTTCAGTCTAGGCAACAGAGTGAGACCCTGTCTTCAAAAACAAAAAAAGTTCCAGGACCAGGTGTGGTGGCTCATGCCAGTAATTCCAGCACTTTGGTTTGGGAGGCCAAGGTGGGTAGATGGCTTTAGCTCAGGAGTTCAAGACCAGGCTGGGCAACATGGTGAAACCCCACCGTTACAAAAAACACAGAAATTAGCCAGGAATGGTGGCGCATACCTGCAATTCCAGCTACTCAGGAGGCTAAGGCAGGAGAATTGCTTGATCTGGGAGATGGAGATTGCAGTGAACCAAAACTGTGCCACCGCACTCCAGCCTGGGCACACGAGCGACGACTCGCAATCGAAAAAAAAAAAAAAAAGAAATTGCCACACAGGCTTCTACAACCCCCAACCTATTCTAGGTGCGGGAAAACTCCACACTCCCTCAAAAAAAAAAAAAGAACACCATTTCACACTAAGTGTTCTAGGTACAGATTTAAATGAAAATTTAATTTTTAATCATCTCAAAGTTAAATATCCAAATTCTACTTGAAAAAGTGGGCCGGGCACAGTGGTTCACACCTGTGATCCCAGCACTTTGGGAAGCTGAGGTGGGCAGATCACAAGGGCAGGAGTTGGAGACCAGACTGACCAACACGATGAAATCCTGTTTCTACTAAAAATACAAAAATTAGC